TTTCTATAACTCTTTCTAAATCTTCAACATTGAACTCATCCCACCAACACGTTTCTTTATCATTATCTACTTTCAAACCTTCTTTAATGTATTTCTTCACTGGCAACCAAATACTATCCAAATTTACAGATGGAGACCAGATAAAAATTCTTTCAAATGCACCTCTATAAATATCAAGTATCATTGATACAAGTAAAGTTGATTTTCCACTTCCAGATGGACCGACGATCATAGCTCTCATAGGCAATTTAGGGACAACCTCATGCTTACTTTGCTTAAAGTCATATTTGATTTCATCAATTGGTTTTACATCAGGCATAATAAAAATAATATTATAAATACTTATAAATAAAAAAATATATAAATATTTATATAATCATAATGTCAAGACGATCTATTAATCTAAATGAAGTTACTAGCATTCAGACTATATTTAAATTCGGTGATGTTTTAGTTCCAGAGACTGGTCAAATTTATTATGATACGATTTTAACGTTTTTATCGATAATTAATAACAAAAAAATATAATACCTAAATCATCAATCGAAAATGAGGATATTTTAAATTATAATAAATTATTGAATTTTATGAAAGATTATCCCGATAGATATACAAATGAAATGATAAATAGTGTGCAAAAAATTATTAATAATAATATTCTAGATGTTGATATACCAACTGCATTAAAACTTACTAAAGAAAATAATTTAAATAAATATTCTATTTAATATTAATGGAACATCATTATGTTATGAGTGGCGGTGAATAACATAATGGAACAGGTTTCCATTGCTACAATCAATAAGCATTGAAGCTAATTAGTTTGTATCTCTCTCGCGTGCAATGAAAACCCCAAGTGCTGAGCCCTCGAATATTCTATCATGCATGAAAATAATAAGATTAAATAATCTAAATAATTATTTTATCTTATTATTATATGACTGTTATCCATTGTAATTGTTGTAAAACTTATGATAGCAAATATTTATTTAAGCATCTAAATTCAAAACACCATCAGAAACTTGTAGAATATAGATGGAATAAAGACGATACAATGAAAAAACTGTACAACTCTAGGAAAAAGAACTTTTTTCCTAGAGTTCTAGAACTTGAAAGAACTTGATAAGTTCTTTCAAGTTGTACAAGAAAAGAAAGACAGAAATGAAAAATAATTTATCTTATTATTTAATATGAAAAGGAGTTATACAGATTATATTAATATAATAGATGAAGTAGAAAATATAGAACAAGTACTAATAACTGATAATAGATGTAAAAAAATATGTTATTTTATTTTAGAATTAATTAAGTTTTTGATACAATATATTAAAAATATAAATATTAATATAAATGCCAAAAAAGAAAAACAAAAAGAATAAGACAGGTTTAAGTGTTTCTTCAACTGATGAAGAAATTGTTAAAGAAACATCAGTTATTGAGGTTGTTTGTCCCACATGCAAAAGAATGTTAGAACTTAAGAATGAATTACAAATAAAAAATAATAAAAGTTGTAAATGTTCATGTATTCCAACAAGTTTCAAAATAAGTAAACATGATAAGAAAATGAATATTGATAAAACTAAAGACAGTATCAACTTAGAAACTGATGTCCATAGTATAACTTTTAAATTTGGTAGGCAAGCAACACCAACCGATAATAATGAAAACGAAACACTGGAAACTGTTAAACAAATGATGAAAAATTAGTATTTAAAGAGTAGATTTAACATAATTGCACTTTATAAATTGTATAATTAAATAAATAATTATCTAAATAAATATATAGTAATGTCTGAAAATGAGAATTATACTATTAATGATTTAATGAAGAAGATAACATTAATTGGTAAAAATATCAAAACCTTAAATGATATGATTAAATCCATTGATGAAAAACTTAAACCAGTTGAACGCGAACAACAAAGCAACGAAGATAAAGAAAAAATCGAAAAGATATTTCAAGCAAAATCTATAGGAAGACCAACGGGTGATTATCCTACAAAGCAAAAGAAATACTGTGATATGTTGAATACAGGAAAAATCAAACAACCAAAGCAACAAACATTAGAATTTTACAAAATTTCAAAAAATGATGATGGAGTATATGTATTATTTGAATAATTAATATCTAAGTAATTCTAATAATATGAATTTATTAGAATTATTTAGCGGAACAAAAAGCGTCGGAACCATAGCAAAGTCGCTTGGATTTAATGTAATATCATTAGACTTGAAAAATGCTGATATCAACACTGATATTTTGGAGTGGGATTACAAACAGTTTGACAGAAACCATTTTGATTTTATTTGGAGTAGTCCCCCATGCACTGAATACAGCATAGCAAAAACTAGGGGAATTAGGAATATCGAATATGCAAATAGTATTGTCTTAAAAACTATTGAGATTATCAAATATTTCAATCCTAAATATTTTGTAATCGAAAATCCACAAACTGGATTATTAAAACATCAGGAGTTTATGGATGAGTTTGAATTTAAAGATGTAGATTACTGTAAGTATGGATTTAATTACAGAAAACGCACTAGGCTCTGGAATAACATTACAACTTGGAAACCTAGAGATTTATGTAAAAGGGATTGTGGCAACATCAGGAATAATAAACATATTGAAACTGCACAACGGCTTCCATCGGGCACCAAGGAAAAATGGGGAGACAATCCAACAATACATAAGCAAGAAGATTTATACAGAATACCTAGTGAATTAATTTGTGAAATCTTGGTGAGTTTGACGGATTAAGGATTTTGAGTTTGGGGTTTGGGCTCAAACTGGAAATTTCTAGGCTCATCCAACGACAACACAGTAAAAAATAGGAACTCCTTTTCACGGCTCTGGCGCACATCCATTGGTTTGCCAACCGTTGCCCAAGACACAGCAAAAATCTTAGGGAGATTAATCATGGAGGGAATTTCCAAAAAATCAAGGCACGATTATTCAAGAATCGGCTCATGAATTTTAGGGGCTGTGTATGTTCATTCCGAAAATCATGCGTTGATTAACCAAGGGTGGATTAATCATGGGCTGGTAGCTCATTGCAATGTCATGTGCAAACATAATCAATATGAATTTGTTTATCCATACTTATCATTTGTACAAGATTGAAATATTGACTAAATGACTTAAAGGAATAAATACTTAATATAATAAGAGGAAAATGCCAATGATAGGAGTGACAGAAAAAGAGCTGGAACAGGATAGAAAGATAATATTGAGTTTCATTAAGGATAATCCCTATCCATCGTATAAACAAGTCATTGAAATAATTAAAAACGATAAAACAATGAAAGATATATATCCAGATATGTTCGCTGAGTATGGAGAACAAAATCATCAATGGATAAAAGAGATTTACGAAAACATAATGAAAGAAGAACTCGTTAAACGTAATGGTAATAGTATTAATGAAAGAGGAGGAATGACAACAATGCATTGTAATTATTATACTTTGGTATCAGTGTTGCGTTATTTAATACAACAAAGAGCACCAATGAAAGATTATGACGTTAACTTAATCTGGTATAATATCAGAAACATTTTGAGCAGTTCTTGGAACAACATAGGAGACTGGAAACACTAAAAACAGGTTTAATCATACTATGATTATCACATGTAAAATATTATATGTTATAATTGTAATATATTTATCGTTTGTAAAGATTGAATTATTATAATTTGCTTATCTCTTTCAAAGTGCGTTGTTTAGACTTGGCATGCTTCTTCAATTTTTTCGTGCTTTGGCTGTTTGTTTTTGTTTTGTTTGATACTCTTATGATATTTTTTGTTGGTATGTTGCTTTGTTTTTTGTTGATGTGTGTTTTTGAGTTTGGGCTCTTTGATGATTTAGAGGTTTGCTGTTTTGTTGGTATGCTTGTTTGAATTATTTAATGTTGTATGCTGTGATTAAATATTGTTGTTGCTGGTTGTGATTATTTATTTTGTTTGCTTGTTGTTCTGGATTTTGTTTTCTGTTTGTTGTGTTGCTGTTGGAGAAAAAATAGTAGAAAGAATAATTCTTTGAATTCTCCTTTTACTATTTTTCCCCCCCCACCATGCGATTTCTGTTGCGATGTGTTGCGACAGCGGTTTGCAAAGCAAATTGCGGGCAATAGTGAAGAAGGGGGCTCATGTTCACAAAGCTAAGCTGAAGTTGCGAAGAGCCTGGTTGGTAGGCGGGTTTTCTCCCCTTTTGTTGAGTGGGTAACTCCTCATTTGGGATGGGTTTCTCACAGTTTTTAGTGAGTCTCCCCTTTTTTGGGTGGGCTCGCGTGGGTGTCTCCATTCTTCGTGTGGGTTTCTCTCTTTGTTTTTGCTGGGTTTTCAACTTTTTGTGTGTGTTTTTCTTTCTTTGTTGGCTCAGCCCGAGACCCCGGGATAATTACATCCAAATGGGTATTGGTGTGAACACATGTTCTGGCTTCCTAAGTCTACCTTGGGGTTTAAAAGAAATGAAGCCCGGGCCCTCACCCTCTTTCCAGCAATCATGGAAGAGAACGGGGTTTGGCAAGAGAGCCGTGTATCAAAATGCGACATGGTTGATTGCGTTTAGGGGTGGACTCCTATTTTCCATCTTTTTTGCCATCGTTTGTTTCAAACAACTAGCCACCTTTTGGTTTGCTGGACAGTTTGGGGTCCCCGAGATTTTGGCGTCACCTGAGACCGAGTTTTCAAGCGGCGGACTGGGCATGCTTCACATGTACCCCTTACCCTGCAAATTTTTCCGTGGAGCCGGTCCCCCCAAGAGAGATTCCTCCTCCAGAATCTGAGCCTTTCGGGCTCCATGTCAATTAAAACACGGCAGGTGAGTGAGTCAAAGTATTTGTTTTGCGCCCTTCGGGGAACCCGTTAATACCTTTTTGCTACTGTACTTCGGAGATTTCCGGTTCAGCGGGAGGAGCCTTGGGACCGCAATGTGTGTCCAGCTCGGATCTGCCTTTTCGTTTGCTGGTTGAGAGGCGGGTGTCATGTCCCTTGTCCGCAGGTGGCCCATCCGATGGCCCCAGCCGGCCTTCTTCCGCCCGGAGGTGGTACACTGCAGGCAGGGAAGCATGCGCGCGCGGCGCTCGCTGGCAGCATTTTTTGGATGGTTTGGGTCCAAAAAAAACGGCAGCAAACTCTTTTTGGATGGATGGTTTGGGGCTCAAAGGCAGCGGACCCCTTCTTGGATGGTGTCTTAAGAGGTGTAGATACAGATGATTTCTTGTTCATCCAACCAGATAATGGAGAACAGGCAGAAAGCGTAGATACTTTTGTAAGATCTAGCGCAGTAGATTTAAGAGGACACCAAACGGAAACCGCCTCAAAAGGGGTCCCCATTTTGTTGAGAAACACCCATGTGGCTTGTGAACTTCAATAGCCTCTTGAACAGTGGTTGGTGGACATTAAACCCCCACAATGATGTGCACCTTTTCTTGTGGTTTTGAAGGAACGCCAAAAAGGAGAACCGCCATTTTGGGGGCCCCTAAAAGAAGGCAGTCGTATTTTCCAATAAAAAAAACAAAAAACAGTCCCATTGCGCTGTTGCCTCCCTGGAACCGGCCTCTTTAATCTATCGTGGCATACCTGCAATCAGGGAGAAAGAGATTTCGTCAGATCAGCTCTGTGGTGCGGTCTTCAATTGCTTTGAGAAACCTTGTGACGAGGAGACCGCGTGTCATCTTTTCAGCCTCCTATCGCGCCTAAGTGACGCTATTGGCATTGATCTCAGCTCAGACACTTCTGCTTTTTAGATGAGTACGTCGTTCTCGACGGGATATGGCAAGCAAAGAGCACGTTTAGGAGGCATTGCAGCAAGAGCCAAGCTCTTCCACTCAGCAACCCACCTCACAGCAGCATCCAGCAACCGGGAACATCACCTGGGAAGACTATGTTACAGACGCTTTATCCTCCGTTCTTCACCTGAGGAGCTCGTTGATCTGCATGTAGCGTTGTGTAGGCACCTTTCTCACTTCCTAAACCTGGATGATTGCTCACTGACCAAAGAGGTTGAGATTGCTCGCTCGTCCCGACTCTTGGACAGTGCTGAGAAGAAGGGGAAGGGGAGCATGCTGCGTGATAGCTGTTTTGACGTATTGCTTGAGAAGAGCCGAGCCAACGCAGCATCCTCAAAAGGCAAGGGAAAGAAGAAGAAAAGCGGTCTGGTCATTAAGGGTGTGTCCTTTTCCAGGGCTGGTGGTTGTCCCTTTGGTTTCGCTTGGAAACCAACCAAAAAGGGTAGCCTCAAGAAAGACACCCATATTCCTACTTTTCAGAAAGAGCGAGCAACTTCCGTCTGGACGCTTCGCAGGGGCTGAAGTGGGAGCTACATTTGCATTGCCGAGTTAATTTCGAGAAGTAGCATGGCAAGGCGGTCGCTGCCTAGGTCCTTTGGCAACGATGGTTGCAGCACCCCACACCAGTCCCTGAAACCACGTGTACTATATAATTATATACATATATATATATATATGTATATACACATATTCATATGTTCATATATATATATATATACACACCTAGTATAGCACTTTGAGGTCTCCCTTGGCATTGATACCTTGGGGGCAAGGCGTCCCGAGCCGCGGTGGAAACCGAGTGGCCTATGCAAAGGGTTCCAGAGGAGTTTCTTCTAAGCACTGCTTTTCCAAATCTGCAGGGCGGTTGTTGCTTTTTTTCACTTATTTGGTGGATTGGGTGGTTTGGGGATTTGAAGCGCTGGTTCCTGTAGCAGGTAAATGGGAAGCATCCCAACCATCAATTCATCTGATTTTTTTACCGGGTTCTTTTCTATCACTTTTTGGGTAGACCCCTTCAATACCAGGCTTTGAGAGGGGTAAGGTTCAGCAATTCAAGAGCAGTAAAAAGACGAGCCGCAAGGTAGACCCTTTGTGAAGAGCCTGTGTTTGCCGAACTTAATAGGGGTGCAAGTGGGCCCATACATTTAATGATATTTCTTGAAATTGCCCAAGGCCGAAAAACTGGGCTTGGATTATCTTGCGTGGTACTTGCTTGACTCTGGGGATTCACTCTTTCAGGTGCCTACCCTTACGCAACTTGACATAGAACCTCGAAACAGGAGTGCCTATTCCCAACATGAGGCGTTTTGCCGTGGGTTGAATGTCAATGTTCGCTTCTCCCGAGAGGTTCCCGTTACCCTGCTGTGGTGTTTTGGGTTTCAGGTGGATTGTCCGACCTGGGGACCAGCTCCAACATTCCCACCATTTTGCCCAGGTGTGACTCTTTTTTAGGAATCGGACCACCCCACAGTGGCTTCGGTCGTTTCTCTTTAAAACCAACCCCCAAAAAAAAGGTACCCTTACAAAACAAGCACTCCATGTTCTGTGCCCCTTTAAAACCAGCCACAAAAAGAACCCTTTAGACAAACAGGCACTCCATGTCCTTTGCGACTGCGTATTTGTGCAGATGCAAGCCGTCAGGCCTGGCCGGGACATTCCGAAGCTGATTGTGGGCACGGCCTACCAACTTTACCAGGCCCGCGCATGCTGTTTGCGTGCGGGACGGCTTGGCATAACGCAACCACCCCTGGGATCTCGGTCAAAATGAACGCTTAAAGGTTTATTTTTATTGGCCAGGCAGAATCAACGTGTTTTTCTTGTGGTTTCTCTTCTTTCTGTTTTTATTGGGGGGGCTGCCAAAGCTCAAGTAGGGCTGAGGGGTCCCTTTCTTTTGAGGGGGCAAATCTGGCTTTCCTGCTGCGGGTGTTTGCTGCTTTGAAGGCTTGACAGGAGCCAGTGAACCTTGCCTTTAAATTTGACTACGAACAAGGCGTCCTTCGTAACCACTGGGAACCACTGGGCAACAAAGAGGATTTGACGGTTAACATTGTTTTTTGAGTGAACACCAAAAGGACCTCTGACAAGTGGAACTTCCCCACTCAAGAAAAGGAGTCTTGCACTGAAACACTTGGCTGTCCTAAGATGCCTAGCTGACCAGACTTCCTACCTTGAGACGCCGAGCCAGTAGCAGGGGTTGCGTGGTTTTCCTCGACCACATTTCTCCCCTTGTGACATGGTCGGCCATCGCCTTGGCTCACCGGCCGTGGCAATGTTAATTGGGCTTTCTGTTTTGTTTGACTGTTTCTACGGTTTCTTTGGAGTCTCCCTGCCCTTGCAGAATGGGGTCACCACCGCCTACAATTGTGGGTTCATCCCCATTGAAAGGTTCAACAGGAGACTCCAGTTACCTCCCTATGTGGGGGGGGCACCAAGAACGCAAGTAGAACAGAGGTTCCTTTCCTTTTGCACCAAGCCTGGGGTCCTTTCCCTACATGTGACTGAGCGCAAGTCAAATAAGCAAACATGGGACCATTTTAGATGGGTGTGGGCCAGTGAGCTCATACAGCTGATTGTCAGCTGCAACGCAGTCGACCTTGGGATCTCCTCGGTGCCTAAATCATTATAATCGTTTTGTGGGGTACTCAAAGGCCATGTTTAGTCGCGATTGTAGGAGAGTTATGTGTGTAATTGTTCGCCCCTTCTAGATACCTTCAATGGGGGGGGTCTCTCTATCTCGGCCAAAGGGTGCTGAAAGGCAAAGCTTTTCTTCTAGGGAGCGCGAGTGGCCGTTGTTGTGTATCAAGAGGGAACCTCAGGGAAGCCAAATGGAATCTCAGGAGCAATACACATCCAATTATTTGATTAGTATGGGGGGATGTCCCACAGGGAACCTTTTATTGGGGGCCCCCTACGAATCCACCAGGTTCATGAATCGTTGATAGCCGCGCTCCTCCGAATTTTCGGGCCAGAGTTCTTGTGTGTTTCTTGGGCAGAGCAGCCCAGTGCCCCCCCCCCCCCAGACCTTGCTAGCATAGAAGTGTTCGTCCTCCAAAAAACGGCCTGCGCATTTTGTCTCTTGGTGGTCGGTCTCTTTGGCTTTTCGGCCACAGGTTCAGCTCCCCGCAACTAGGGGACTCACATCCGATCTCCGATGTCCTGGGGAAACACGTCACTGACCATGGCTCAGGGTTCCGTTTTTTTTTTCCCCCGATCGATTTTTGAACCCACCTTGACCTTAGTCAAACGATGTTGTTGGTTTCGCCTAAGGGAACTCCGCGCCTATGGTTTGGCCTATGCTTTGGCCATGGGGCATAACTATGGCTCCATTTTGGGGTGGATGAACATCCATTTGCCACCTATCCTGGGTTTTGACAACAACCGCCGTTTCGCCTGAGTCTCAACCAAAAAAATGGGAACTCCGCTCATTCAGCGCCAGGTGGTCTCCAACTCCTCGCGCCCGACCTTGGACTTGGAGGCGGATTTTGTTTTCGATGGATCTCGCTGGGAGCTGACAGCCATCTTGAACGCAAGGCTCCTTCTTTGCAGAAACACACAAACCAGGGCAACGGCTGTGTTTAGAAAAGAACCACACAAGGTCCAGGATGTTTTCTGGTTTGAAAAGGGCCAAGGCGGAAAAGAATGAACCAGGAATCAACCCCTGGAGGAAACTTTTACAGGGGAGTACATTGCTAGAGAAAGAGGTTGTATTCAATACATGCCTGCTAGTTCCTCAGATGAACTCGGAACTCATAGAAGCCAGGCCTAGGACGTCAAGCTCACTTTTTGCGCTAAGAGGATCGCTGGTTGGATCTCCGTTTTGGTGGCACGCAGACACAAGGCTGGGCCGTGTCACCGGAAGGCCGTGTCGGGGCTGAATGCCTCGGCGGCCCTGCTGTGCGAGAACTCGGAAGCTTGGAGCCCGAGCGGTCCACCGCTTCGACGCGACCGCGGGTTTTCGCGGTTGTTAGGGGGTTTTCTTGGGCTGGGGTAGAACGTCGCATCCGAATTCTGTGGGTTTTGGATGTGGCCGGTTTGCTGGGTCGTGACTATTTGGTTGAAATCGGATCGGATCTCGAGGAAGCCACCGGGATGGAATTCTGTTGGGTTCGGATTCTCCCGGAAGCTGAGACCAACATGGTCTTTGGATGCTGGAAATTAGTCCAAGGACATGGAACCCGCCCAAAAAGGGCTCCCTTGGGAGGAGATTGCTCACATGTTCTTGTTGGATTCCATCTATCCTGGTTTGGCCTGGTTGGGAGAGAAAAACCACCCCATTTCCAGCGCCAAAAAAGCCGGATCTCAAAAGGAGATTGCTTTAATTGACGGTTCTTGCGTATGTCAGCCCAGCGTTTTCGCCCAACATGGGGATGCTGTAGGATTGAGACAGGAAGGGAACCATGGCCCAGGTAGGCTTGATTCCGGTCCCGAGGTGGGCTGCCTACAAGCGTCCCTCGCCGCCGGCGGACGGTTTCTGCAGCTCACGCGGCACGCGGACGGCAACACCTTCCGCGCGGATCTGGAGACCCTCGGAATGTGAGCAAACGAGAACGTGTCTCCAGAACGAGTTCACTTGTTAGGGTAGACTATATATGAATCAGAATCAGCCGATGTTTTTCTGTGTACCCCAGATGCGGGCCAAGGTGGGTGTGTGGGGTGCGACGGCCGGGTGTTGTGGGATCCCTGGTATTTCTTGTGTTGGGCAAGTGAAGAACGAGGTCGGAAGCGCTGAAAAAACCGTACTTCGCAGGTCGCTCACATGAGTGTCTATGGCTTGGCTTGCTCAATGCATTTCAAGGGCGTACCGGGCACCGAGCATGAAGATGGGCCAAAACACGTTTTGGTAGAAAACTGGTGTGGCGTTCTCTGGTTTTCTAGGGGCCAATTGTCTACCCTCGTGCAAGGGCCCCTCAAAACTAATTTGCCTCCAAATCGCCCAATCGCCCAGCCAAATGTTGAGCCAAGAGACCGCTGTCTTTGCGCAATCGTTTGCTGTTGGACACTCGTTTGTCAAAAAAATCGGCCGTTTGCCCCCTTTGAACATGTTGTTCCAACACGTGGGGTATGTCTTTTCTGAAGGTGCTCTTTTTGCTTTTTGAGGCAGTTGCAAAGGACAAAAATGCAGCCCATGTTGTGTTTGTTATTTGATGACAAACCCATTGAGGCTTGCAATTTGCAGGGGTCCGTTGGCTATTGTTTGACCCCTGGAGAGCGGCAAGCCGTTTTCCCTTAGTTGAAAGACATGGTAGTGAGGGTATTTGCGTCAGTTTTGCCTGGGGTTCTGGGTTGGCGGGTGGACGCCACCTCTTGGAGCGGCCCAGGATCTCAGGCACGGCCTGGAGGAAAGTGGCGGGAATACAGGCCGGAGCCGAAGCGCGGCGAGCGCGGCGAGCGGGCGGCCGGCAAGCGGGAAGCAAGCCCCCTCTTGGTTTGCCAAATAGAAAGAGCCCGGGAGTTTTTGTTTTGTGTTTTTTGTTTTTCTTTTTTTGTTTAAAAAGATAAAATCATGTATTGTTTTGACATTTTCCCCAAAGAGCCAAATGGGCCAGGCCATCTTAAGTTTTGCCCGCACACTCAACACGTCTGAAGAGGGTTGCTCCGAGCTTCTGCATGTGGGGCTCGCAGTGGCATATGGTTGCAGCCTTTAGGTTGAAATTCCCAGTCGGGCCAGAGGGTTTCATCCACCCCCAGTGGTGCAGGATTTTCTCCATAGCTGTATTCGGGCTGGGAGGATGAGGGCAGTAGATTGGATGTGTCAAGTTGACCATCCTTGTTGGATCCTGATGCCGCCTTTCAAAGGGGGCTATTACAAAGGGCCCCTGTTTTCGGGGCCCGCATCGAGGCACTTTTTCGAATGAGGTGTAGCCGCGCGGTAGCTACTTGACTATAGCAAACCCAACCCAACGGGTTCCGAAAGGTAGAAACCCGACCCCGAAGCTCCCCTATGAGGTGCTTTGCCCTATGTCAAGTCTATGGTCTGTTTTTTCGGTTTTTCTTTTTTTCGGGGACCACCCGACAACGGTTGGTTTCTTTCTGGTTTCCCGTCCAAAACCAAGAACGGGGAGCCGCCAAAGAAGGACGAGCCACTTAGCGCGGATGCCGCCCCTTGGCCACCTTTCCATCAGGTGCCCTGCGCCTCGCTGGGCAGCTTACTGGCCTCCCTGCCTGCTGCGGGCCCTGCGGGCCCTGCGGGCCGGCCCACGCCTCGGACGGATGGGTTTGAGGACGCCATTTTTGAGAAGAGCCACAGAAAGCATCACCAGGTTCTTGGGGTTTGGGAACCCCCCCTTTTTTTTTTCAATTTGGAGGTCTTTGAATCTAACTTTCTTTCCATGATTGGTTTTGTGTTCATGCTTGCCCATTCAGTCATCTTTCTTTGCCTTGGCAACCAAGGTCGGACTTGCCTTGCTATCTAACTTTCTTTCCATGATTGGTTTTGTGTTCATGCTTGCCCATTCAGTCATCTTTCTTTGCCTTAGCAACCAAGGTCGGACTTGCCTTGCTTTAACTTTCTGCCTTTTTGGCGAGCAAACAGTTTGCGGTGTCTCCTTTTTGTTATCAAGGGGTCTAGGTTTGGCTGAAGGAGACTTGGTCTCAAAAATTATCCTGGACAGAAATGGGGGGACGAGCAGGGGCGACTCTTGAGTTTGTCCCCTCTACAGTAGGGTAGTGAAGACTTGTTCTCATTGCTCCTGCAAACTTCATCAGGGAAGCCAACTAATCTTCTTTTACCTTTTAACAAACAGATTTGTCAGTGGACGCGCAATGTCCAGATTCAGCAGAGCCGTGATCTTCAACATGTACTCCCTGGTCCAATCCCTTAGGGAGGCCCAAATCAGTTTTCTTTTAATGATTTCTGGTGTCCCTCAATCAGTGGGGTTTGGAGACAACCCGTGGACATTTGGAAAACACCCCCCTAAGCTCCAAAAAACCAGATTCCAACCCACCAATTGGAAAGCTGAACCACCAGACCACCCGTGGCTGTCAGGTGCCTGCTGCTGGCGGCCTGGGATGGTCAGAAGCTGCCGGTGTCGGTGGTGCCGGAAAGCGAAAACACGTGGCCCGCCCAGGCGCGACAAGAGGGCTGAGACTCTGGTCTCACTTCCTGAGTTTTATGGACTTGAAGCGTGTTGGGTCTGGAGCATTTTAGTGTAACACAGAAGGTTTGGGCTTGTTTTGGTTCCACTCAGGAAGTGAGCTGTAGCTACACAAAATCAAGGAAGCTATGAATGTTTCTCAAAGGATTTGAGCCCAACATGTTTGGTTTCCTTTCGGTTTCCCTTTACTAACCAAAGGATGGTGCACCATCCTGAGAAGTTTCCCGGAGGATAAAAGAAACTGTGAAGGAGAAGAGAGCAAGCCGCATACGCATCCCGAAACAAGGGCCTTTCTAGGCCGAAGAGTGGGAAAGTAGTGTCCCCGAAGAGCGATACCGGTTTCCTCGGGGACAGTCCTGGAAAAACAAAGTCTCCTGCTTGTTCTAGACGTCAGCCTTGGGGGTTCATTCAATGTCCTTCTCTGTGTTGGAACTGAGAATCTTCCGGGATCTTGAAGCCAATATTTTCTACAACTATTTGGGCCCAGTTCGAGTCCAACTAGTTGGAGTCCATGTTGGGTCCATCTTGCGGTCCATGTTGAGCGCCCCATACTGCCTACTTTTATCCAAAATGACCAAGTCAGCCGCAGTAAGAAAGAAGCGGTCAAGGCGTCCATGTCGAGTCCATTTGGGTGTGGCTCAAAATTTAAGACCTAGGGTTACGCAGGGTTTGGTCTTGGTTCGATTTACCAAGGAGCCATTTGGGGTCTGTTTTGAGTGGGCGCCTCGGGTTGGAGCTCCAGGTCGCGCCCATCTTCGATGCCCCGCTGAAGCTTCCCTCGGCGAAGGCGGCTGAAGCGAAGCCGTGCCCCTTTATTGGGCTGGTGTTCAAGGGCATCCAAAAGGAAACCAACCTCTTCTTGTTTCTTTCTTGTTTTTTTGGGGGGCTCTAGAAACAAACACCCAAATCAAATCCATGTGGAAGCCAACCAGGTGTGGGCACCCTAAATATTGCGAGTAACGGAACCAGAAAACTCTCCCAACCATGACTTGCCATGGTTTGGTGGTTGAATATGGTGGGCATCCACCAGGATTCCCATCCCCTAACTCTCTCACTTCAAATGCGTACGGGATCCCTGGTACTGTTAAGCCTGGATTGAAGTCGGATTGGGGGGTTTCTTCAAAGTGAAGGAGTCTCTCAATGAATTCCCCGCTTGAATCAACCAGTTTTTTTTTTAAATCTAAGGGGTCGTATTTGGAGAAAGGGGCGGGGGAATCGTCGTTGGGATCTGATTTCTAGATAAATTGAAAGGCTGCAGAACCCCAGATCCTATGGCTAAAAGCCCACTTTCGTCCAACGCAGGAAAAGGGCCTCTGTCCCATTAGTGCCCTCCTCTAGAGATTGGTTTGTCTCAAAACAGGGGACACCCCCCCCAAGAGAAATGTGGTTTCCTTTCGGGTTCCCTTGCAAACCCTCCAAAACGGGTACCCTCAGACCAAAACCAACCCAAGGACCACTCCGATTCCGGTTCCCTCGATGGGCATCTTGCCAGGCGCGGCGCTTGTCCAGCCCAGCTGGAGAGGCACGGACATCTCTGAGCTCACTCACCCACGAAGGCCCTTCACTGTTAGGGGCTTTTCTGAATCAATATTATTGCGGAGATCATTACCAGTATAACAATTATGTATCTGTGTGTTTACTTGCTATTACCTTTGTTTGTCTCTTGTTGTTGTTGTTTATTATTTATTCATTTGTTCTCTTATTTGTCTAGTTGTTTTTTGTTTATTTATTTATTTATTGTTTGTTTGTTTGTTTGTTTGTTTGTTCGTTTGTCTGTCTGTTTTGTTTTAAGCTTCGCGTTGCCCGCCTCGGCCAGTATGCTTTTGGCTGGCCCCTGAGGTACTGTGTTTTGGTTTGCCTTGAAGTGTTGTGTTTGTTTGAGAGTGAGCTGGTTTCCAAGATATATGCTTTTCCATATGGCTTCAAGGGCTAGAACCAGAGCCGCAGCGGGGCGGGATTTGACCGGTTTCTAGGGCGGATTGGCCAAGTTTCCACTGGGAATTTGACCGGGCAACTAGAGGGGAGTTTGACTGGTTCGAAATAGGGGTACTGTTGGTACCCCCAAAACTGGGTTGGAATTTGTTTGGGTTTGCCAACCAAAAGAAGGTCCACCATTTTGAGCAACACCTCATTTATTGTACTTTTGGTCATGCTTTGATACTCCTTTGAACATTGTACCATCGACGTCTCTGCGCAAATGACCGAATTGGGGCTTGAACAAGCTCACCCATCAAGGTCCTTTGGGGGAATTTTTCTCACATCCGGTTTGGGAATCCAAGGGATGTGAAACGGTGGATGCCCAACATATATTGCCAGGGAACCAAGGAACCCCCCTGTAAACGTCTCTATGGTTTGTGGTGGGAAGAATCCTTGCAGCTGGCGTCCAGGTGCTCTCTCTGAGCCTCGAGCAGTCTGAGGCGCGGGGCGTAGCGTCGGTGGCGTCGTTCCCCATGATCCATCCAACGCACGTGGACGTTGACGGTCCTCGGAGGACGTTTTCCGGGTAAAGGGACTTTCAGGGGGCTTTCGGGTGGGTTCCCTGTTAGCATTTTGGGAGGATGCTCCACTCAAAATGAGCAGCGGGGGCAGGAGTGTAAAACCCAAAGGGGTATTCAAGCAACTCGCTTTGACGCATTCATTGTCACACAATGGTTTTGAACCACTGGTTTGGCCGAAACATCCTGACCTACAGCTTCATTGTGCCCCAACCGCCCACGAGCAAATTGGGGACCTGCGAATGGAGCTGCAAGCAATCGCGGGTTCTTTGGGCTCACTATTCCGTTGGAACCAGCAGCAAGCCTGGCGCGGGGTTCGAAATCGACGATTGAAGCCACCAGGTACGAAGAGGAAAGTCTGCTGGGAGAGGTTCAGTGAACAGCAGCCGATCCTGACGGGTGTACTAGGGGGATGTCACCCACAGAAGGGAAGGCGTCGGGCTTTTCAATCTGGGGTTAACATCAGCTTCCACGGAATCACCATGAAGGGGGTGTCTCTAGAGCTGCGGGGAACCGATCCCCACCTGCCCAAAGCAGATTTATGACCTTGTGGTGTTTAGATTTCTTGACAAATTGTTTGCGACAATTGAAATTGTGTTGATTGTGAGTTTGTGATCGCTTTTCTATTTTCAGGTGCTTTGGTTGCAGGCGAGTTTCCTTGTGGCTTTGGAGATGCGAGTTCGCCAAATCACCAAACCCCCGAAGCTTTCATGTCCCAACTTCCAGCGGGGATGGAATCAGAAGGGATCCGTTCTCCGAAAAAAATTGCCAGAGCCTTTGGGGTGAGGTTTCCGAACTTCACAAGCAAGCAGCAAGGGGGAGGGTTGAAAGGCTTGAAAGGCTTTGGGATCTGAAGAGATTGTCTTCTTCCGCAGCTTATTGAGCTTACCCGTGCAGGGGTCCTGGGAGCATCCTTATGTTAACTTCGGATCATGGGGGGAACCATCCCCCATTCGTACTGCTCAGGATTCCGATAGGGTTATTTTTGGGGAACCCAGATTGAAGTGTGCAGGTAGTTTGTGTGATCGGACTCAACCACTATGGTGTTTGGGTTAACATGAGTTGGTTTGTACGATTCGGATTTATCCGAAGTTCAGATTGCGGGGGTGCAAAGACATTTTCAAGATTTTTCAAGGGAAATTGGCCGGAGAAGGACCACAGAAGGTCCAACTGCATTACCCTTTTTTTGCTGTCTGGGGTAATGGGGCCAAGTGGACTTCCCGAGCTAGCCAAGGCTTCTACAAAGGTTCGCTTCAAAGGGGGAAGCCCCCAAGACTAAGGCTTGGAGCAACCCTAAACCACTCCAAGGGGCTGGAGCTGGCAGAGTGATCCGGAGTCCCACGAAACGGGGGCCACTCCCTCGAAAGATGAATCAAGCAGTTCGGCTTAGTCCGGGGTTGACACCATCCGGTGCTCCTTGCTTCCTTATTGTCTTGCTGGCATGAACTGTGGGGTCTCCTTAAAGAAAACCACGCATTCCCTCATTTTTTGCGAGAGGCCCGATCGCAAGTTGGTTTGAGGTTTAAACCCGAACCCACCTGAGTCACTCTCAAAACCCGGGTAGATGAAGGATAGTAAGGGACAATCCCACCCAGAAATAGCTGCGGATATCCGCCTTCTTCATCCTTTACATAGTTCTGGGTCCATTTTCGTTGCAGGTTTTTGATTATGCACATGCTACCGGGTTTCTCAAGTTACCGGGTTTTGTACATGGTTCTGGGTCCATCTCTGCTCAAGGGTCGACCTTCCCATCCGTCAGGGCAACCTCCGGCTTTGGGCGCTGCTCCCTGGAGAGCTCTGGGGATGGGACCTCCTCTCTGCGAGGCCGGAGAGACCTCAACTTCTTCTTTTTTTCGGAGGAGCGCGGTTTTTTGGGGGCCTACTCTGTCTACTCTGAATGGAAGGAACCAAAGACCCTCATCGGTGGAGGGAACCTGGTGGTTTTTGGGAGAGATCGATCCATTGGGCGTTTTGCTTTTGGAGTTGGTGCCCTTGGAGTTGTTGGGAAAGAACCCCGAAAGGAAGCCGCCAATTGCCCCCCCCTACCCCTGCCCCAATCTAGTGAAGCACCCAGGCATGCGTGGCGATACAAAAGACTGGTAGTTTCCATTGCCGGCCAGTACCTCGAAAAAAGCCACAGGGGAACCCCCAAAGGGAGCCCGCAAACTTCCAGGATGGGGAACATGCTAAAATTTGGTTACCCAGCGGGTTGGTGACTGAATCAACGGGCCTGGTTGATTCATTGGGGGGAGGGGGGGGGGTGTCCAACTCATTTTAGATGGGACCTGGATATCGCCTCCGGGGCGCCTACCCCGCCGTCTGGGGTCGAGACACTCTGCTAGAGCCCCGGCCAGCCCTGGTTTGCGACCACTTTCTGTGATACCAAGGGAATCCAGTAAGTGATAAAGTTTACAAGTGCTGGGAATCGGAAGCTTTGCTTGGCGTTGGGATGAGAACACCTAAACGAGGAGGTTGTGCCATCTTTCATTCTGGAACTTGGGTTTCCCAACATATTGCTTGTTTGTTGTTTTCTGACTTTTTTTTTTTTTTTATGTCAGGCGAAGTGTGAGGCAGCATCCGAACATACTTTTCTTGCTAGTTCATTCCCTACCTACTGTGGATGGACGGAATCCTGCACCACCTAAGAAACCCTGGAATGATGGTTCCCCTGTAACAGCCAACAATGGGTTCGCATGGTTTCAAAGTGGTGCGAAATGGATTTCGCAACCATCCACAGTATGGCACCAGCCAGTTTACTTTTGCCGTACTTCTGAGTCAGACCACGAAGTCGCTTCATCCGACTTCCGCAGGGTCCTGGGGCGGTGGCCGGTGCCGGGCTTCGGCAGAGGCTTTGAGCCCACGGCCATTTGTGCAGGAGCCGTTGCGGTGCCAGCCGGCGAGCGCCGTGGGTTTGATGGGGTCCCTGAAAGGCTTTAGCAGCTACCGGTCAAAGCATTACCCAAGACACCAGCTGATTTAGAGGATTCCCTGGTAAAGAAGGTGGTTTTTGCTTGTATCCTTAAGGACCTTAAGGACTCCTGTTGGAGGTTGCGGGTTGAAATTGCACTGCTCCAGGTTCCTGGTTTTTGTGAGGGGGGAAGGCACCTACACATCTTTGCAGCCGTGTTCGAGACAAAAGTAAGTTGCATTTCTTTCTTTAGGTCCTGAGGCAACTGGGAAGCCTGATTAACGGGACCCCAGGCTTGCTACAAATACCCATTGGGCGAGAAAGGTGAGCGATTGTTGTTCGTTTGAAGATCCCGAAGTTCCCACAAGCATGTTTGATCATATTTGTGATTTGGTGCGATCGATTGTTACAAGCAATACTTTGATATACACCTGAGACTAATGGAAGCATGTGTAGTGTGTTTAGCAAACATTTGTAATTAACTGCATGCCTGAGCAGCTGACTCTTCAGGACATCCCAATATGAAAGAAACGTGGGCTTACTTAAACAGAGAAGTAGTTTATTTCTTCTACGTCTTCTAACGTGTGCGTCCCATTCATTCTCTAATATACTGTGTTCTTCCAGAATCAAGAGCTCTCATACCACTCGAGTATTCGTAGTTTCCAGGATAATAAAGATCCCGTTATCCCAAACAGGAAATTCAACAAACTGCAGTTTGTTTCGGATTGGTTGAGGATTGGTTTGGAATCATTCTATGGCTGGTTTAGGATAAGTATAGGGTTGGTTGAAATGGTGACCAAATCACAAGGGCAGAGAAATGCGGTTTGATTAATCCATGTGTTCATATCCCCTGAAGGGAAACCAGTCATTTTTGTGTCAAAATACGGAACCCCCACAAAATCGTGTTTGTCCGTTTGGTTTCTTTCTAAACCCACACCAAAGAGGGCACCCTGAAAGATTCCCCAGCTTACTTCCGGGCCACGGCCAGAAGCGCCGCGGGCCGGGAGCCGGAAAAACGGAGCCTACTGTCACAGGCGGTCAGACCAGAAGAGCTGGGCCTGCGCAGGTTCTGGTCTTTGTTTCCCTCCAAGGGGCCCAAAAAACGGGTACCACTTTTTTGAGCCACAGCCAAATGGTGAATCTCAGCAAAAGGCAATGGCCACAGAATTGCACAGTTCTGCTGACCCAGACATGCGGAAGAATCAATGTCATGTTTGCAGCGAACGATTTAGAACCCCCCCCCCTTGCTTGCTGTTCTGCTCAGACTCTGAGACGTGCCCAGTAGCCCATGTTGCGCTGGGCTGAAACTTGTTTGAGCCGAAATTCGGGGTGGCTCCGAGCCTTTGCAGGACCAAGCCGAACAGAAATTTGACACCTCCTTTGATTTCTCTTTGCGACACGAATCTCTGCCTGCCAATGCTTGGAGCCCTGAAATTCCCTTCGCGCGATTCTCCCCCCAAACGCCCGGCAAAGCCAGGAGCATTCAGGCCTGGGGACCCGGCGGCAGTTGAGAGCTCAGGTGTAATCACCAGCTCGCCGTGTTTGTTTCCATGTTTTGGTTTTGCAGCTTTTTGGTCAGTGATGGGATCATTAGTAATTAGATTGGTTTCGTCGTTTTCCTGAACCCCATGTTCATTGTTGAAGCCCTTAGAGTAGGCTTGGTCTGCGCTACTTGTCGCGAGCTCACCTAATGAAAAAACGAGCTTCCATGATGAAGGCCCCTTACACTTGCTGGGGGATTCCTTCATTCCGGGGTCGATGAACTATAGCATTCAAGAGGTTGGTGGCTTTAATGTTTGTCATGCCGGTTCCTTTTGACACCCAATGGTGAGGTACCACTTGGCAGAAGGACACCTGAAACAGCCGCTCGAAGGAGATCGAGCATGAGTCGCTTTTTAGAGGAAATGACCCCCTTTTTGGAGGTTCCGTGTGAATTTTGCAGGAGTGTAAGCAGGGTTGCTCCAAGTTTTCAACGACGAAGGCTCTTTGCTTGCTCAATGCTTGACAGAACGCATCCTTGGCTGTATGAGGATCGCCCTTTGGTTGTAAAGGCTCTAAGACTCCTCGAAACCAAACCAAGCTGCTGCTCCCAAGCCGTGCAATGCAACAAGTGTCAACAGCGCTGGGTCCCAACCAAACAAGAATTCTCCCCCCTCGCCCGCCCCCCCCCAAAAAAAAAGAAAAGGAGGGTTCTGTAATTGAAAAACAGTACCAACTCCCAAAAACACGCCATGGCCTGTTCCTTTCCCCTGGGCACCGACCTAATTCGTTCGGAAGGCGTCAGCTGCTGCTGGCCGGGCGCTCCTTCCCAGCCGGTGGCCAGCCCGGCCCGGAGCTGCTCGCCGCCGACCTCCCGCGCCTCTGAGCAGCCGACGGGCGGAGGGCGAAGGGCGGAGGGCGCGGGCGCGAGCCCGTTTTCGGAGGCGCGCGCGGGGGTCGGAGGGTCCGTTTGCGAGCGTGGGAGCTTCCAGCCTAGAGAACGGCTTCGCATTTGCTTGTCATTTTGTCGGAAGAAAGTGGCAAAGCGAACCTAAGTTTGATTTTTTTTTTGCTTTTGTGGGCCTTTCCGAACTTTTGACGGAGAACTCCTGTGACCCCCGCGAGCGTTTTGAGTGGGTGCGTCGAGCCTGTGTCTGTGTTTCACCCTGGCGATGCGATCGATGGAAGCGAAGCGGCGCGTGGAAATGCGTGTGAGACGTGGCAGGCAGCTGCGTGGGCAGGTTCTCTTTTGGGCTCCATTTTCGGTGATCCTGTTCCGGTTCATTTCCAACACCCCTGAGAAAAGGTACCTTCGAAGCAAACACAGATGGGTGTGTCCAACAATGGGTGTTTTGGACTTGGGCGGACAAAATCCTGCAACAGTTTGATGAAACCCTACACATATTTGGATAAACCAGCTACCAACTGGTGCAGGTGTTTTTTTTCCATCCGAAGTAGATGTCCTTGGCGCAAATGCCTAACCTCATTCGCCCAAAGCCGATCTTTGACCTTTTCGGCCCATGTTTAGTCATGGCCCCAAGAGGTCAACCTGACAGCACCTCAAGTTGTTTGCCTTCTTTGTGACTTCACTTGAAAATAGTGCTGAGGCGCGCTCCTGATGGACTGCTGATCTGGTCCTCCGAAAACGAGGCACGCCGGCATTTGAAGACGTTTGAATGTTTTATGTTGTTCTTCATTTATTATTTGTCTTTTTTTGGAGTGGGGGGGTGGGTACTAAAGGGCCAACATAATGGGGCATGGGGTTGTGGGGTACTTGAACACACAAATGAAGCCATGATGATGAGAGGAACATGTGTGATTATCTAACCCATCACAAACATATTGCCATATTATGCATACATATGCGGTTGCATCCAAGCACCTACCATTTGACGTTCTCGGTTTTTGGTGAGGGGACCACATATGTGCGCTGTGTATATACACATGCACATAAATGGATATAAAGTCTATACTTTATTTAAAACATGCCTGCCCGAAAACCACGCTCCTTGGCTCGACTGAGGAGGACGTGCGGAGATCTTTTCTCACACGGGACACATCGATGCTGATGGGAACGGAACCCAGGATTAGCAAGCCCCAGTTAATTAATAGGGGGTGCTCCTTGTTAAGTGGGGATTCATTACTTTTGGCGTGGACCACCCCCTATTCATAGGACGGGTTTATTAATCCGGGGTCAACATCATGTGGACTTCGTGCAATGCGTATCTTCCGAAGACCTTGCTTCGCAATTTCCACGCTTGATGTTGTACGTCAAGAGCTGGCCATGGCGATGCATTTTGAAGTGCAACGTTGAAGCCGAAACTGTTCGGATGAACAAAGTCAATGCAGACTGAATGACGTGAACAGGTCAGTAAAATGCATCAAGAAACAACTAATTACAACAAATAGATCAAGCATCCAAAAATTGTCCAACAAATTCATAACTCTCTTTCTCTATACCAATGGCTGTGCGGCAACAATAGGTACCTACAACGGAACCCAGGTCATCGGGCACATGGGCTAAAATCAGCGGTTTAAAATTCTGAGCCATACCCATATTTCCCTTGACGGAACCCCCCCTTTTGGCAGGAAACTAAGAGGAACAACAGAAAGCTCCAGGTCTGGAAGTCACCTAAAAGTAGACAAGACAAGCCCAGGTAGTCGAATCCTTCTCGCGGTTTTTGGTCTGAGTCCTGGGGTCACCAGGTAGTCCCCTCGACTCGAATCCTGGTGTCGAAGGCCTGGGAGTTTCTGGTGGGCCCCAAGGTTCCCGAGGCGGGCTGGGAGGTGGCAGGGCTGGCAGCTGCGGCAGCTCCCCCCTTTGATTTGGTGTTTTGCTTGTGTGTTTTTTTTTTTGTGCGTTTCTCTTTAAAAAATCCATAAGTTGTTTGTTGCTGTTGTATGTTTTCTTTGGGGGGATGTCTTCTTTCCGTTTCAAGGTAGTTAGGAAATTGGTTAGTTTGTTTGTTTGTTAGTTAGGTAGTTAGTTAGTTAGTTTGTTTGTTTTGGCTTGTCTTGTTTTGCTTCTTTGTGTTGTTGCCTGTTCTTGCCTTTCATTTTGTTTCCTTTGGGTTCTGCTTCAGAAACAAGCAACGAGACACCCTGGATGACCATGCTTCAGGGACCTTACCAACCCCCTCCCCCAAAGTCACCCCTTCAACCCTTACGGCCTTGTTTTTGCCTTATTTGGCTTTTTGTCTCCCAAAAAAGACTTCTTGAGACCTGGACTTTTGCGTGGTCCTTCGGGTTGAGAGTTGGTAGGGTCCTTGAATGGTGCCGGCAGGTAGTCGCTTTTCATTCCATATTTTCACGCCTCCGGCTCAGGCCGCCGACATTGCAGGCCTGCTTTCTTATTTGCGTCCCTTTGGAATTGTCCCCTTGCCCCCCTTCCCCTCTAAGATCTTTGCCCCCCTTTCCCTGTTGAGATCCTTGCCCCCTTTCCCCTCTAAGGCCTTTCCCCCCTGAGATCTTCTCCCTTTTCCTCCTTTCCCTGTTGAGATCCTTTCCCCCCTGTCCTCCCTAAGACCTTTTCCGCCCCTGAGATCTTCTCCTTTTTCCTCCCTAAGATCTTTTCCCCCCTTTCCCCTTTCCCCCCTTTCGCCCCTAAGGCCTTTCCCCCCCTGAGATCTTCTCCCTTTTCCTGCCTACGATCTTTTCCCTCCTTTCCCTGTCGAGATCCTTTCCCCTTTCCCCCCCTAAGCCCTTTCCCCCCCCTGAGATCTTCTCCCTTTTCCTCCCTAAGATCTTTTCCCCCCTTGCTTTGTTGAGATCCTTTCCCCCCTTTCCCCCCTAAGGCCTTTCCCCCCTGAGATCTTCTCCCTCTTCCTCGCTAAGATCTTTTCCCCCCTTTCCCTGTTGAGATCCTTTCCCCCTTTCCCCCCTAAGGCCTTTCCCCCCCTGAGATCTTCTCCCTTTTCCTGCCTATGATCTTTTCCCCCCTTCCCTGTTGAGATCCTTTCTCCCCTTTCCCCCCTAAGGCCTTTTCCCCCCTGAGATGTTCTCCCTTTTCCTCCCTAAGATCTTTTCCCCCCTTGCCCTTTTGAGATCCTTTCCCTTTCCCCCCTTTTCCCCGTAAGGCCTTTCCCCCCCGAGATCTTCTCCCTTTTCCTCCCTAAGATCTTTTCCCCCTTTCCCTGTTCAGATCCTTTCCCCCCTTTCCCCCCTAAGGCTTTTTCAGATCTTCTCCCTTTTCCTCCCTAAGATCTTCTCCCACCTTTCCCTGTTGAGATCCTTTCCCCCCTTTCCCCTTTCCTCCCTGAGATGTTCTCGCTTTTCCTCCTTAAGATCTTTTGCCTATTTCCCTGTTGAGATCCTTTCCCCCCTTTCCCCCCAAGGCTGAGATCTTCTCCCTTTTCCTCCCTAAGATCTTTTCCCCCTTTCCCGGTTGAGATCCTTTCCCCCCTTTCCCCCTAAAGCCTTTGTCCCCTAAGATCTCTCCCCCCCTAAGATCTTTCCCTTCCCCTCCCCCCTCCGATCTTCTCCGCAGTTCCCCCGCGAAAATCTTTGCCTCCCTTTGCCCAAAGATCTTCATTTCCCTTCACTTTCCTTCACTTCGGCTCATGTCCCTGTATGTCTGTTTTTGTTCCTTTTCTTTCATTTCACTTCATGTCATTCATTTCCATAGATTTTCCTTCACAGGCAACATCCCCGGCATTACTTGCATCATCCACATCCTTGGCAGGCGCTGATGCGGATGATGCAGATGATGCTGGCGATGTTGCCCAGGAGATGCTAAGGATGCAACAACGGACCCGGGGGGAATCGAAAATCCCAATGTTCGCAACTGTGTCCCGCACCCGAGAAGAAAGGATTTAGAGGAACGTCTTGGAATCACCGCGTGGTAGGGGGTAATAGGTAAAGAGGTAAGGTAAGGAGCATTTCTTATGTCCAACAGACTTTTTTTGGCTGGGTAGTGTGGATGGGTAGTTGTGGGCCCCTTCACAGGATGAAGACGGAAGCGATGCACGGGGACGGGCACTCTGTGTCTCTTTCTTCCAAGGCCAAGAACCGGGAAATTGGTCAACAGGAATTTATCCGTTGGAACGGAAGTCAATTGACCAGAATAGGCTCAGTGTGGCCACCATGTTTAAAATGTTCTTACTCAAAATCTGGAAATTCCCTTTCTCTACCAGGGTCGCCGGGCAATGGAGGAATTCTACTGGCCTCACAAAGAAACTCGCTTGAGTTGAGACCGGAAAATGATCTTTGACCCAGAACCCTTGAGAGAGGGCGGACTTCCAGCTTCATGGGATCCCAAAGCTTTTTGTTCTTCTCCCAGCTTCCCCCTCGAATCCTCTCCCCCAAAACATGACTCGAGGCCTCAGGACACCCCTCCCTTCGGATCACCAAGGCAGTGAGGGCGGAGGTCTTTGTGGACGCGGGCCAGGGGCTGAGAGTGAATTGGGACAGGTGACCTGAACCATTTGTGTTTCGATATGCTTTTCTTTGCAGAAGCAAATCATTTTCCCCTGTTGGTTTTATCAGGAGTCTATCACGCCTGGACATGTTTGTGTTCTTTTGCTTTTCCCAAGGGACTTAAGTTGAATATTGTTGCAAATGGATGTATTGTGTGCCTTGGTCAAAGCTGCGCATCTGTGGGACATGGGTTTCTTGGTTGTCGAAGTTCCCGGGTGCATGGTCACGACCACCCGAAGTAAGTAGGACTTTTGACCATGGTACATTCAGCCTAAGTAGTTGCCAACAACATGCTACTTTCATGACTTGAGGTGGCTTTCACGCCCGTTCTGTTATTACGCCCCTCATATGTCTCTTTAAAGGTTGAAGTGAATGTATCTTTGGTTAGCTGACTTTTTTCTGCGCAGACCTCGCTCGCGCGGGGGCTTTTGGATCTGCAAAAGAGCAATTGAAGCAGTCTCCAGTGGTGGTGCCCTCAATGCACCCGTCACGCCCCGATGGATTTTTCCGGATCATTTGGCCATGGGTCAAAATCCCGTACCCCCAGTGAACATCCCAATCCCCACTAACATAGACGAAACCTGGGTGGCGCACCTACCCATTGGTCTTGACCCACAGCCATTTGATGCACCCGGCACGCCCCGCTGAAACTGAGCCCTTTGCTTTGGCCGGTCACACCGGTGTGACCGAACCGGCCCTCAGCTCACTCCCTGAGTTCATGGATTTTGTCCTTTTTTGGAAAACCGTTTTAGTGGCAAACAAACCGTTTGGAGCTTTATTGGCCACTTTTCCGGTGATGCGCTACAGGTCGAACGATCTTTAGATCTCAAAAGCTTGGAGCAACCCAGTCTTGTGCTTTCTGCTTGACAATAAACCTTTCAACTTTTCGGAGAAGAGGTTTGCGAAAGGTTAAACAGGCAGGCACGTTTGCTGTGGGATGGCCAAGACATCTTCTTGTTTAAGCATCGCCTACTGGGGTGCAACCATGGCCCACTTTTCGCGAGTTTTGAGGGCGTGGTCATGGTATGGGTAACTTGGACAGTGCAAATGCGACTTGGATCCAATAGACCTGGTCCTTTGCTTTGGCCCCAGTGCTTCCAGGCGTTCCGCAGCTTTGGTGTTTGGTGTTTTTTTTTAGCTCATGGGTATCAACATGGCCGAGCCCAGTGGCTCCTACCTCTTGGTTTTGGCTTTGATGGTTTCCCCAGGAAGGTTTGGTAAGGTTTCATCGGAAACCCGCGAGTCGACAATGCTGGGGATATCACCTGAGTTTACTTCCGCCTGGTCATTGTAAGTTGCGGTTCTGGGCTTTATGCGGGGGGCCCGGAGCTGCATCTGGCTTGGGAAGGGGGAGATGCGGATCGGGACTCAGGTGCAGACTCGCCCAGGCCGTGTCGGGCAGAGGGGGAGAGTCCACTTCTCTCTCCGAAATTCGGGCTCCCCCCCCCAAGCTAGGCACAGAAGTCCATCAGATGTAATTATCAATTTGGGGGGAGCCCAACAAAAGGTGTTTGTCCTTTTGGTTTTTCTTGAAAAGGGTACCCTCAAAAATGCACAAGCCCATCAGAAGTGTATTATTGCCACACAAGGAACATCAATGGAACTCAGGCCACACAAGCAGAGCGCTGCTGTTCTAAGTCTCTGATATGAGTGCGGTTGCAGTCGGCGAGGAACTCGTTGGTCAATGCTCATATTTGGTTTAGTGTTGCCCTAGATCCAGGTAGCATGCGTGGGGATTGGGGAAGAATAATCCAATTGATAGGGTGCATTCATTAAGGGCGGGAAGAAATTACTGGTGTCTCCTCTTGCGACCATTCAAGACTGGTGGACAATGTTCCCATGATTAGGGGTTTTCAGGGTCAAAAGGAGACTGCTGAGGCAGTTCCTCTAACCCTGGCAGAGTGGTCTAGCAGCAAGAGGACCGGTTCAATGGATTCGATGAGTTCATTCTCTCTCTTGAATGGCCCGAACTGCTCAGCCCATGCCCTGGTTTTCATGACGAGATGTGTCAATACCCCTTCAAGAACCAAGCTGTGGCTTTTCTCATCCTCAAGGAGAAGGCTGGTGCTAAGACCTCTGCCCTTTGCCACTGCGCATCTGCTCTCCCAAGCCTTGAAAGGCACTCATAGCCGCAAGTTCTTCATCGGACAGCTGTTGCAGCTGCATGCTCGTGGCCCCAGCCTCGGCTGGCGCTAGGTGGGCTTGTCTCGAGGAAGGATCCGGAGGCAACCAATAGGACGTTGACGCCATCACAGCCGCCAGACGCATTTGCTGCCAAGCAATGCTGCCCTGCTTTCGACGGCTGCTTGTATCGGGCGGAGAGAACATCACATTCGCTCAGATTCTTTTGCCAGAAACAACACTGGCCTTCCACCCTGGAGGGCCTACTCATTCTTCACATTTTGCTCCATGATGATGCCTGCTAAGTCCCCCACAACCCCAATCCAAATCATTTAGGCCCCTGTTCCCCCCAAAGTATACTGCTTCATTGAGGGGTGTAAAACACACATAATATATACATATAGTACATATACATATATATATATATATATTTCTATATACACATATATATATATATATCATGTACCCCCCCCTCAAAACAAGCGCCTGCTGCTTATGTAGGGGAAGTCAGGTCATTTTAGACAAAGAGGCCTCATTTCACAATGTTGGCAGACTTGCACAGCTCATTCTTTAAGACGTTGCCACCCGTGTAAATAGTAGTTGCTTCTAGTTTCTGAACAATTTGTCCGTGCCATTCCTCCTTTTTTTTTCCGTTTAATTTTGCACATATTCTGGTCATCAAGTACATGCATTTCAACAAGTTAATTTGAACATAGCATCAGACGCTTGGTAAAGTGTAGTGATACACAGTGTCTAAACCATGATCTTTCATACATACATCTCTGACGTTTTCAATCATGTCAGGGAATACAATAAAACGTTGGCTTTCAAGGAGACATGGTGATGTTCTCTCATAGTTTTAACGTTAAACTGTTTATATGTTTTCTTTCTCGTAGTCTTCTTCCTCAATGTTATCCTCGCTCCGTTGACTGCAACACATCTCTGTGAGGGCAAAGCAAACAATACCTCTTCTGCTTCGTCTACGCGTCTTCGAATTCTCATCTGCACTGATGTGCAAATCCTCTTTGTCTGCCAACTTACAAACCTGTGCAACTACCAAAACATCTGCTATGCATCTTCACCCTCTTATCTCAACTCATCCGCAAATTCCCTTCGTCAGACTTTTTTTTTGCGCACAAGTGCAACAAGATAACGTTGACGCCCAAGCAGGAATGGCTGAAAGCAGACGCTTTAAAGCGCTTTTGGATCTAAGATTCCAGGACGCAAGTTCATGACACTTGCATCCAGTATGGGGCCCCCAAAGCGCTTTACAGCGCTCCCAGAACTCCAGAACTCCAGGACTCTAGATATCTTGAATCTTGAATCACTTCCAAGCGCTTTAAAGCACTTTCGGATCTAAGATTCAAGATACAAGATTCCCACGACTCTTGTTTAAGAATCTTGAATCCATGAGCTGGATGAAAGCGCTTCAAGCGTTTTGTGTGAGCGTTTTGTTTGAATCTTGATTCTTAGATCCAAAGGTGCTTTAAAGCGATCTAGATCTCTGTTGTTTTGGGCGGATACAGTCACAGTCAATGTGCAGATGCGGGCAACGTGAAATGCTCAAATGTGGGCTGCCTGAAAAGGGGACTGCAATCACCCGAAAGTACAGCAACTCCCGTGAAATTCTTTTGGGGGGTGCGGGAGGAGGAGGGTGGAGCAGGCACAGGTCCATAGGCAAAGGATACCATATGTATATATATATATATATATACACCATCAAGCATATATATATATATATATATATATATATACATACATACACGTATATATTAAGCCTACACACATATATTGTTCTGTATGTATTAATACGCATATAATATATATATATATATATATATGCATATATATATATATATATGTATATTTATAAATACGCTGTATGTCTATATATATATACACAGACAAACCTATGTGGACTATTCCACATGTTGCCAGGCCCCAGCTCCTGGGGCACTTCGAGGTAGACCTCGTGATGTTGGCCAAGAGCGCCCGAGCACCCGGCTGCGGGGGCCGGGGGGTGGGAGCCAAGGAGCCTTCCATTTCGCTCACAGGTTGTCTCCCTTTGGGTTTTGAAGGGAATCTACTGGACAGATTGTTCTCTTCTTTTTTTTGCAGGAGATTGCAACCTCTGGTTTTTAAAGGGAATCCACCACTGGAAACATGTTCTCATTTTTTGCAGGGGGCGATAAAATGCAAATGTCGGGACACCGAGCTCCCGACTCCTGCAGATTAATGGGACAGGAGCGTTTAGGGAAATGGACCCGTTTTTTCTCTGCAGAGTATCCCGTTTTGTACGAGGTAACTGTTGTGGTTTGGTTTCTTTTGAGAAATTGGATTTCGGAGTTTCGGGCAACCGTTTGGATTGGTTTGGGACACCAGCCCCGGAACATCGTCTCCCAAACCTCCAGTCCAAACCGCCAAGGGGAAACTGAGAGTTGCTTTTGAGCTCATCCCACTGAAAGTCAACTTTTAGCAACAGGATCAATGCACCAAGGAAAATTGAACTCTCGACAACGCAGGTCTTTTCTTTGTTTGTGACCAGTTCCACCCATGAAGGTCTGAATCTTGTGCAGTCGTCAGGCTTACTGTGATGATCAAACCTTCTTTTCAGTTTCATGGCGGTTTCCAGTTTCATGGCGGTTTCCAGTTTCATGGCGGTTTCCAACTGGCAATGTGGGTTGGGGTGGTTGGGGTGGGGGTGGGTGGGGTGTGGGGGAAACATACGTCCTGCCCTGGGAGAGCATCCGAATCACTGGGCCCACCGTTTGCAGAGGGATTCTCCTTCTGGGTGCACATGGGAAATGGAGCCCTTGTTGGGTGCCGGCTGTATCAACCCTGATGTGAGGGATTATCCGAAAAGTGGGGGGCACATCCCCCTGTTGGGTGACGTGAATTTGAATGGGAGGAATCGAGGGGAACGAGACCCGACCAGCGTCAGGAGACAGTTCAGCGGCTAGAGAGCCACCTCTTCATCTCCCAGGCGGGGGAGTCCATGTGGCTTCGTCGTTTTTTTTTTGTTTCCCCCGGCTGGTCCTGGCAACGTGGACGTTCACTTCCTTTTTGGTGTCCCTTGAGACAATCACCAGAACAATTTAAGTGCCCCAGAAAAAAGACAATGGTAGTCCCAAAAGTGTTGCAGTACCTCTTTTTCCAAGTGGACAGCCGAACATCGGCGTGTCTTAAAGTTGGCGAGCCACGTTGAGCCGAAACGAAGCCGACCGGACATTCTGATGGGTCCGATGCCTTTTCTTGGTGGTTCTCAGCCACCTGCTTAGGTTTTTCCGTTTTTAGGGTTTAGTAGTTTTCCACTCAACCACCAGAAGTTAGACTTTTACCAGGGGATCGAGCCCAGTTTCTTGTGGACACATGAAAAAAGGGCGTGACTTCTGTTTGGCACTTGGTAGACATCATTTCCACTGGGATTTTTGATCTCCCAGTTATCCAAGGAGCAGAGCCACCGTCAAATTGGATTTCGGCCAGTCAGGAGCCAGGGGTGCTTGTGCCCCAAAGAGGTTCTGGCCTCCCCCAAAAAAGAAGAAGCAAAGGTTTCCTTTCGGTTTCCCTTTTGGTTTCGCCAAGGGTGCTCGTGTCGCCCCAAATGGGTTGTCTTTTGGTTTCCCTTTGAAACAACCCCAAGGAGCCACTCTAAAACCTCAGGACGCCTGTAGTTGCCTTTGGTGCTTACCGTCTGGCTTGCTATGTATTTTCATTTTGCTGCTTCTTGGCAACAGACCTTTGAACTTTCAACTGTGTGTTTTTTTTTTGCTAGCCCCGGTTTGAGCTGTTGCAGCTGGACGAATTTATAAGCAGGTGACAAACATGCGACAGACAAAGACCCAAACCATTCTTGGAGGAGTCATGTTTTGAAGAGACACGATACGTTGTTTGGTACTTGCGCAATTTTGCAATGGTCTTTGGAGGATGCAGACCGAAATGCCTGCCGGGGCCTCAGGGGGTGTCGCTTGAACTGTGCCACAATTCAACACCAGGTTATCGAAAATTGGGTTTTAAGTTGCCACTTTTCTATGATACCAAAGGACATCACAGAAAGGGTTGTTTTCCGCAACCTTGTTCAAAACCTGGGCAGAACAGGTTCAGGGTTCCTGAAGTTAAACTGAGGGGTTCTGATCAACCTCGATTTTGGTCTACCTTCGGGTAGTCAAACATAGAACCCGGAGCAAAACGGGTGCTCCGAAGCTCAAAATGACCAAGGGCAAATTGGTATGTCCTCTTGATTTCCTTTTCCAGGGGCCACGCTTCCTTTTGAAGGGTTTTTCTTGCAGCCCGTTTTTGTTGTTGTCTTTTTTTGTTATCACTGGATGGAGCACTCCTGAACCGATGAAGGCTAGCAGCGGACAGTCCCCTTGTCATAAAAGGCGCAGCATCAAGACCACCAAGTTTTGGCTCGTTACCATGGGTGTTGAGTAGACCCTCTGACCGGCTTTGATTCTAACTAATGAGGCGTGGGTGGCATTTCTGGCTGTCAATTGGGACCTGGGACATGGGGGGAGCTCCCTAAACTCCAGGGGACCACTTTGTCCATGTCCAAAATGGGACGGCTCGAACGGAAACAGAAGGCATGTTTGCAGTTGCGCTTTTGAAACAATCTCCACAACAAGGGCCCAACATCTAGGACACACAAATAGCAACCCACATGGCTGGGCGCCGATCCCTAGCTATGGGATCGGACTGGTGGGGTCTGGAAATTGACCCAATCTGCGTTCGATTTCTCAAAACACACGTTGCTCACCCCAGGTTTTGGGAAGTAGAAGGGCCAAACATTGCGTGAATCGCCACATTTTGTCATTCTGAGCAATTCTAGAAACCATGCCTTTTTAGTGAGCGCAGGAAAGCGCAAAGGGGCGGAACTCATGCCTTGTCGTTTTCCCGCACTGCGACAATCCCACCAGTCCACCAGTGACGCGTCACGGCCCAAGGCTTCAAGGAGCGTGGGGTGGACACATCTGACAGAGCCACGCATATGTGCGTATATGTGTATTACTATGTGCACATATATATATATATATATGTATGGTACCCCGCACCCGAAAAGTCTACCTTTTTTTTATGGTCAAATCATCAATTTGTGTGCCTCAGGCGCATCTGCCTGGATTCAAGATCCTAGATACAAGAGCGTCCCCAAGACTCGCAGGCTATCAAGGGAAATCTTGAATCTTGTATCCAGCTTCTTGGGCGCCTTGCCCGAGGCATATGGGGGCACCCGAGGCGCCCAGGTACTCAGATCCAAGATCCAGGGACATCTTGGATCTTCGATCTTGGATCCGGGCCGTGTGCCTCAGGCACCTTGTACGGGGATCCCAAGACTCTGCAGGGAATCTTGGATCTTGGATCCGGGTACCAGGGCGCCTCAGGCGTCCTCATATGCCTCAGGCTCCCTGGGGATGAAATCTTGGAGCGTATCACCGCAAGCTTGGCTCAGGCTACATCCTTTGCTCCAGCAATCATGCCGGCATTGCGCGTGTCAGGGACGGTAGACTTCAAGGATGGTAAGGCCACAATGGTTCTCAGCCCAAGCATCTCGTCTAAGGGGATGAGTTCGTCATCTTCTCCTACGGCAGCCGCTCAAGATGCACGCGAACGAGGTCCTGCCAAAATACCGCTGCTGTCTTGAAGCTTGTCAACAGCGTGTCAGCCCACAGCATCTCCATCCCCTCTTTCAAGCTGCGCGTGGTCCTTGCAGATTAAGGCTTGTGTCTTGCTGATGCTCCTGCTCAATGTGGCCTCATCTTCAATCTACTTGCTGCTGGGACCCAACAGAAAGCTGGTCACGGAAATGAGGTGTGGCTTAGATCAACTGTGGCAAAGCTTCGTGATCAAGAGGGAGAAGGGCATCTTCATGGGTGATGGAAAGAAATGGATCGACATTGAGGCGGGTGAGGCTTGTTTCGACAAGCGAGATGTCGAGGAAAGCCCGACAGCCTCATCTTGACCAAGGTCACTCCGAGAACAACTCGCACGAGAACGCCAGGACCTGGGGCCATAACCAAGGATGACTGGACTTCTATTGCGTCGAAGAGGTTGCAGGGTCGCAGTGTCATTCTGCGCACAGTCAGCAAGGGCATATTGAACGAAGTTTGAAGGAGTGTTGCGTGATGCTGTCGTTCACCAGAAGAAGCGCGTCAAAAAGGGAGGGTCTGGACCAAGCCGGTATCAATGTGTTGGGTGCCATTCGGCAGGCGATGATCAGCTTTCTTGACTGCCGAATGGCACCACACATTGATCGGTGTTGGAAGTTCTTCAAGGACCGGCTATTCAAGAACACCATCATTCGCGCAGTGCAACCGGGCATGACTCTCCGACTTTGCTCCGTCCAGTATGAGTACTGGTACCCGGGACAAGACCTATGAACGAAGACAGGTGAGTCGCTGAGTGAGCATATGGGCAAGATCATCGATGTATGATAACTTGGAAGATCTGTGCGCGTCATGGAAAAGCACATGTCCCGCGTGAGTGGCTGCTGCGTCTGTCATTTACAGAGCTTTGCTTTGCTTTGCTTTGCTTTGAATTGCTTTGGTTGTTTGCTTGCTTGCCTCCTCTCTTCTCTGTTGTTCTTGTTTGTTGGCTGGCTCGCTTGTTTGTTTGTTTGTTTGTTTGTTTGTTTGTTTGTTTGTTTTTGTGTGTGTGTGTGTGTATTTGTGTGTTTGAGAGTTCTTTGAAGATCGGCACCCTTGTTTATATGAAAATAAAGGGACACGACAGGGGAAACTTCAGTTTTTTGGTGGACGGTCCACTATTTACAACGTTCTGCTCCGATTGCGCATCGCACATGGTTGAGGCATGGGTGGGGGCGGCGCTAGTGTAGTCTGTTCTTTATGAGGGCAAGTTTGCGCGCAGCACATGCTTGTACTTCAGTATTTTAGGAGCTGATCAAACATTGAACAGTTACAATCTTCTGACATTCTCTTAAAATGGAATTGCAGGAAGGGGCGGCCCTTGGAATTCTATTCATAGTCGAGACTTGAAAATCCCGTCCACCCTTTGTGAAAGGGGGGTGGCCGAGTGGTGGCTGCCTTATGTTTCCCTGTTAAACTCGAAAAGGGTGCCCGCAAAAAGCACACGGCGTGGGCAGCTTTCCAGAGCCAGCATGCTGCAAGGTGGTGTTCCGAAGACGTGGTGATGGAGGCTGAGGGGGCAGCCAGCTTTTGCAACATAGAGCTGCGTCCCAAAAGATCCGACTATCAAAGATATCATGTGAAGGTCATTTACCATGATTTCACCCAGTACAGACCAGTTCAAGAAACACAGCGCCAGTCCCACCCAAAAATTGGGGCTGATATCCGCCCTCATGCTTGACATGATTTTGGGCCCCTCAGTTTGCTGGTTGGAAGGAACCCGTTTCAAGTCCATCCCCCAAGTCCGTGTGCCAAAGACAGAGCGAACGAGCGACCAGGACTTTGTACGGATTTTGTACGGTTTTTGAGGGGGACCGTATGTGTTGGATTAGACGCCCGCGCGTTGAAGCAGTGCGTACATGTAGCCACTTCTGATTGGTTTGTAGTTTACTGGAGACGAGCAGGAAGCCAAGCATTTGTTGCGGCACTTCTTTTTGAGACACCCGAAATTTGGAGGGAATTTCTTTTTTCCCGAAAGCATCGCGAAGGGTTCTTCCGTGCGGAGCCCTTGGACAAGTTACATAGAGCCCAGCCAAGTTACATAGAGCCAAGTTACATAGAGCCAAGTTACATAGAGTTACATAGAGCCAAGTTACATAGAGCCAAGTTACATAGAGCCAAGTTACATAGAGCCAAGTTACATAGAGCCAAGTTACATTACATAGAGCCAAGTTACATAGCCAAGTTAGAGCCAAGTTACATAGAGCCAAGTTACAGTTACATAGAGCCAAGTTACATAGAGCCAAGTTACATAGAGCCAAGTTACATAGAGCCAAGTTACATAGAGCCAAGTTACATAGAGCCAAGTTACATAGAGCCAAGTTACATAGAGCCATAGAGCCAAGTTACATAGAGCCAAGTTACATAGAGCCAAGTTACATAGAGCCAAGCCAGAGTTACCAAGTTACATAGAGCCAAGTTACATAGAGCCAAGTTACATAGAGCCAAGTTACATAGAGCCAAGTTACATAGAGCCAAGTTACATAGAGCCAAGGTTAGGTAGAGCTTAGAGCTTCGGCGTTAGCAGCTATGTAAGTTAGTTTAGGTTTCTAAGGCGCCGGGGCGGGAGTTTGATCGTCGCTCGGGATTGCGACCCTCTGCGGAGATTCGCGTGGTCGAGGTTCAAAAACTGAGGACTTTTTACGATTTCTGCTGGCCGCGCGCGACCCTCTGCGGAGATTCGCGTGGTCGAGGTTCAAAAACTGAGGACTTTTTACGATTTCTGCTGGCCGCGCGCGACCCTCTGCGGAGATTCGCGTGGTCGAGGTTCAAAAACTGAGGACTTTTTACGATTTCTGCTGGCCGCGCGCGACCCTCTGCGGAGATTCGCGTGGTCGAGGTTCAAAAACTGGGGGCTTTTTACGATTTCTGCGGTGCGCGCGCGACCCTCTGCGGAGATCGTGCGCGTCGAAGCGCTCTCGCTGTGGCGCCGTGCGAATTTGTTTTAGTCTCGGCGAACCCTCTGCGGAGATTGTGCGTGTCGATGTGCTCTCGCTGTGGGCGCTTGTGCGAAACGGCCTTTGGAAGTTGTCTCGTGGTTTGCGCGCCTGCTTTCGCAATCCCGCGGTCGCGGGTTCGATTCCCCCCTGGTCCGCGGCAGCTCCGGCTTGAAAATCGCAGCCTTTAAGTACAAACGTAGTACGCGGAGCGTGCTCCTGCAGCTCCGGCTGGAAAATCGTAACTTTTAAGTACAGACGTAGTGTGCGGAGCATGCTCCCGCAGCTCAGGCTGGAAAATCGCAACTTTTAGGTGCAAACGTAGTACGCGGAGCACACCCCCGCAGCTCCGGCTTGAAAATCGCAACGTAGTACGCGGACCGTACTCCTGCAGCTCCGGCTGGAAAATCGCAACTTTTAAGTACAGACGTAGTATGCGGAGCGTGCTCCCACGCAACTTTAAAGTACAAACGTAGTACGCGGAGCACACCCCCGCAGCTCCGGCTGGAAAATCGCAACTTTTAAGTACAAAAATAGTATGCGAAGTACATTCCCACAGCTCCGGCAGCACTTGCGCAGAGCAACTTGCGCAGAGTCACTTGCGCAGAGCAACTTGCGCAGAGCAACTTGCACAGCACAAAGCACTTGCGCAGAGCAACTTGCACAGACCAACTTGCACAGAGCACATGCGCAAAGCGCTTGCACGGAGCAACTGGCGCAGAGCACTTGCGCAGAGCAACTTGCTCAGAGCACTTGCGCAGAGCAACTTGCACAGAGCACGTGCGCAAAGCGCTTGCACGGAGCAACTGGCGCAGAGCAACTTGCACAGACCAACTTGCGCAGAGCACATGCGCAAAGCGCTTGCGCGGAGCAACTGGCGCAGAGCACTTGCTCAGAGCAACTTGCTCAGAGCACTTGCACAGAGCAACTTGCGCAGAGCACTTGCGTGCAGCAGCGTGCAGCAGCTTGCAGAGAGCAACTTGCGCGCAGCAGCCTGGAACAATGCAGCTTGCGCAGACCACTTTCGTGAGAAATCGCGCGGCGCATTTCGAGAGGAAAGTAGGATGATGAGATGGAGCTCTCATGTGACCATACACACTGAGCATCGCCGCGCGCAGACACGCTCGCCGCAGCGATGTAAAAAGGTGTCTCCGCGGCTGGATGAGCGCCTGTGGAAAAATGCTTTCGGGCCAATCGTCCTCTAGTTCTGGGTTGAAGCCAAAATGTCAGTAGTTTTTGATGATGGCATGGAGATTTTTAGGCTCGGCACCGAGGTCCACCACAGCCCAAACTATTTATCCACATGTGTGCTGTCGAGAACTTCTGCGTGGATTTCCCCAAAAGGACACTGAAAGGGTTTGACCGCATTTCACACAAAAGGTTTTGTTGAATCCACAGAAAGTGCCCTTGTCATCTGTACACAAATTGTCTGTTTGATCCTTCATGCTTGTGTTTCAATCCTGCCAGCCAGCTGCACAGGTGGCCAGCCCCAAGGGCGATGCCAACATCTCCACCATCCGCAGACATTGGGTCACGGGTCCATTTTTTAACGGGTTCCAACTTGGGAAAATTTGGGCTTGCAACATCTTTGAGGAACCCTGTTCATGAATCCCTCCAGTTTGGGCCTTTTACCATATACACATGCATGCATACATGCATGAATACATACAGACATACAGACATACAGACACACAGACACACAGACATACAGACATACATGCATACACACATACATACGTACACACACACATACACACACATGCATGCATGCATACATGCATACATTCATACACACATGCGCGCATGCATACATACATACATGCATAGGCGCATGTACCGGTAAGGACGGCATTGCCTGGGGGACGAAGTTTCAATCATGTCAGAACAATTTGTTTGGAGCACGCTTTCTATTGTCTTTTGTTTCTGTTGATTGTCTTTGTTTCTTTTGTCTTTCTCATCGATTTTCCGAGAACGCTCAACGTGATCCGAACAGGCTTTCCGTCAGACATCGCGGCCGGCCGGGTCACCTGCCCGCCGAAGAGCCGAATTCCCGCGCAGGGCTGCGCTTGTTTGCACCAATTCTTCCCCAACTCGCATGTTTGCCCTTCTCTTGTTTTATCCTGCATTACGGACGGTCGAGCTCAGTTCGTGGCAGAATGCGCACGCCTTACACGTACTTTGCACCTGACTGGTCCTCATGGTGTTTTGAGTTTGCTGCCCGCAACGTGGCTCAACTGATCCGTGCAAACGATGTAGCCTGAGCCAATCTTGCGGTGATACGCTCCAAGATTTCATCCCCAGGGAGCCTGAGGCATATGAGGACGCCTGAGGCGCCCTGGTATCTGCAAGGTGCAAGATTCCCTGCAAGCCTGGGGGAAATTTTGGATCTTGGATGTTGGATACAGTCTGCAAGTCTTGGGGACACTCTTGCATCTAAGATCTTGAATCCAGGCATGATGCGCCTGAGGCACACAAGATGTTGATTTGTTTTTTTTTATATATATATATGCTTCGCCCCGCCAAGATCCACGCCTGAGGTGTTTTCTGACAAGAACTACAGGAACAACCAGCGTGTTTCCTCAATAGATTCGGTAACATCCTTCTTGGAAAGGAACTCCTGTCAATTATCTAATTCAAAATGAACATATGAATGTTATATAATCCTACTCAAACTGAAAGCTTTGCAAACTAACACTGGTAAGCCAAGAGAACTGAGGGACGAGATGGTCGTGAGCTGGGGGACCCTAGGAAGGTAGGAGCCAGGGTGAAGAAGGCGCTAGGGACCGGGACAGGTAAGAGGGCAAGAGGTGGGACCCAGTGTGTCACTCCCTTCCTTTTGGCAGGGAAGTGAGACTGCCCCAGTCCACACCTTGTAAATAGCAATTAGAACGATTACAATGTTCTAGCTTCCACATAGTGTCTAATATTATCCTTCGAGCTGTTTTCTTGGTTACTAATCATTAATGGTCTCCATTATAACCATTTGTGTTTTGAAACGTTCATGAAAACCACACATACAACAAGCAAGTCTTTTCTTTAGAATTGGCTGCCAGCACCTTCTTACATTTGTTCACCCTGAGATCCTCTTTCAGTGATTTTTTGGTGATCATGATGTTTTTGGTGATCGCAACCTAGTTGGATTCAGCTTGAATGCTTAAATGGGGATCTTTGCAATATTTCAACTTGTTTCGAATTATATAGGTTTATCTTTGAATTAGAAGTCTGGTCTCAAGTTGGCCTTCATTCGGTCTTATTTCTGAACAATTCCAGCCCTTCTCCTCAAAAAAAGAGCTACAAGCAAGACGCAAATAAGGATTTTCCTGGGAAGCTATTTCGCCTTACCCTAGCCTTTCTCCCGAAAATAAGCTCCAAATAAGGGACATTTGGATTTCTCGTGGGCAAATGCATGCTTTTTGTGGTTTCCGACTAACTCCAGACATTTTCTGAAAAGAAGTTACGAAAAAGATTCGAATACGGGTTTGCACTGGGAAAATGCATGCGCTTGGTGGTTCTCGGCCTACTCCAGCCCTTCCCCCCCAAAAAAGTTACAAATAAGCTACAAAGAAAGATTTTGCTTGGACACGTGCATGTTTCGAAGTATTCCAGCCGTTCTCCAAAAAAAATAAGCTACAAATGCAGATGTCCCTTAGACAAATGCATGCATTGAGTGGTTTTCGAAATATTCCCTCTCCACCAAAAGAAGCTTCAAATATGCTACAAATCTGTAATTGTTCAGGCTTGATGACCTGAACACGTGCAAGGCAAGTTTTGAAATAATTCCGTTTTTGAGTTCATGCCCTCGTTAGAGTGGTGGCAAGGGCAGAAGCAGATAGACTGTATCACAAAGCACTTTACACTGCTGCAAACCAGAGGCGCGGATTTTTGGGGGCCATATATATATATATATGTATACATACGTATTATATGCATGTATATATATATGTATATATTTATGTATATATGTATGTATATGCGTTTGTATTTGACTTGGACAGGAATATATAATCAAATATATATATATATATATAAAACGGACTAGCCTGGCATTGCCCATAGGCGGGTCAACTCAGGCAACGTGGGCAAGAAGAAGCTGACGCTCCAAGTCTCCTGGGTCGGGGCCCCATGGAGAGGGTCAGATATATCTGCCATCCACTTTTACTGGGGAATTGTCCAATCTCTATAGCGTACTCATTCGTCATTCCTAGCGGGGACATGGCCACCAACTCTACAAGATAAGGGACTACTGGCACAGGGGCGGACACTGAACCCAGCGCTGCTGCGAGACTCCCCAAATGGCCTAGACGGTGCGAGTGGGGCTGTGGCGGTTTGGCTCTCCGAGTGCCGGGCGTCAGTTCGGCACGGGGAGAATCTTGCTGGTGCGATAGGGAATGTGGGAATGAACCCAGGGGTCCCCTTGAAGGAAACCACCAGTTGGATGGTTTATAAGGGTCATTCCCACATTCCTTACTGAGCACCAGCAAGGAATTCCCGCGGAATTTCTGCACAGTCGTCTGAAAGTCGTCTGAAAGTCGTCTGAAAGACTGCATGCTTGCGGTCTATGAGGTCCATGTCAGGATAATCCATGAAGAACCTGTTTGCCCGGACGTTGACACGGAGCCAACTCTCCAAATCAAGCTTGACGAGGAAACCCCAGGGGCCCATTTTCCTCGTTTTCCTTAAAAGGAAACAGCTCACACAAGATTGATTAAGTATGTGCCAGACAAAACATATGTTTTTTGGTGAAAGAGCAAATGTTAAGGCAGCTTCTTTCTTGAGCTCCAGTGGTCCCAAAAATGAACCCGGTTCCCTTGGGTGTCGCCTTAGCACTTGCCTGGGTTGCCCTAACACAAGCTCCAGTGCATTTTTTTTCGGCGGGGAAAACCCAAACTTTGGTTTTCGGTGCCCGGTTGAAGCAACTAAATTGGTTCCCTTTGCTCTGAACTCCAGGCAAGCCGGACTGTTTTCGTTTTTTGACTCACGCCTCTTTTGGTTTCCATCATTTGGGTGTGGGTCAAGAAAAGGTACCATAATGGAACCCTGGTGAATGGAGACAAGGACTAAAACCTGCGGTACCCTGGTTTAATTTTGACCCGTACCCATATGCCCCTTGAGGGAACCCTCTTTTGTTCGGCAGAAAACCAACAAAACCAACGAAATCCCAGTTTTGTGGTCACCTAATTTTGGAACAATCCCAGGTTTCCCTGAATTTTGATACCGATTTTCCCCTGCCCCGCAAGAGTTGTGGTCTGAAGTCCGGAAGCCCCGTGGCCGGAACCTCAGAGAGGCCCAGCGGGGCTCCGCGCTGCGGCGCCGGGGCAAGGAGCACCGGAGCCCAGGAAACGGTTTTGGCCTGGCCTCGAAAGGGCGAAACCACTTTTTTCTAGGGGTCGATTCCTTTTCCATTCTTTTCAACCATCGTTCTGGTCAAAACCGATCGCTCTTTTCCATTTTTTTTTTTTTTTTTAAATGGTTTCCTGAAAAGATTCGGATCCCTGGGTTCAGAATGGACATGGAAGGTAGCCCTAGACTTTTCCTTGGGCATGATGGATATGGGGCTGTCATTATAGCCGCTTTGAACTAAGAACTGATCAGATCATTTCAAGTGAGGACTGATTACCTACTTTCAACTGAGAATTGATAATTGCTAAGTTCATGAACTACTTTCAACTGAGAATTGATCATTTCAAGTGAGAATTGAACACCTACCGTCAACTGAGAATTGCTAATTGATTTGTTCAGTACCTGCTTTCAACTCAGTTTTGGAGGCTCCCATTTGGTGAGACTCCTGGTCACCACAGGTGGTGTGTTTGTTTCCTACGGGTCCCTTCGAGGATCATCACCACCCCTTCTTTGGAAGCCCAGCTTTTTGCAATTGAACAATCATGATGGCCAAGGAGCTTTACATCGAGTACCTCTTGGGTAGTTAGGATTGGTGGTTTGGATTTGGATTTGAACCCCTGTTTCTCAAATGGGAAACTACCCTGAACCACCAATCTTTTACCCAATTAGAGGGAACTGACTACATCTAGCCTAAAAACGCCGGGGCTTTCCGTGGGGTTCCTAACGTTTGTTTTGATTTCGAAGCCTGAGCCGCATCGGCTGGCTGCGTTGGCTCAAACACAGACTCCTGGGAGTCTTATTGGGGGGTTCCCCCAACTGGTTCTGGATTGTTGTGGGGAACACCCTCAACAATGCTGCCTGGCGGACATAGAACCCCTATCTAAATGATGTCCACCAAAGCGCTCCGAACTAGAACTCATCCCCTGTCGCCAGGGGTGCTCCAGGTTGGAACATCCCCAGGAAGGGTCCTTTGGGCTTGTTGGAAAAAATCACAGGGGGCCAAGTCATATTCCACGAGGTAGGGATGTCCTGAACCTCGACCATAGTGACTATGCCATAGTGCTACTCTGAAGGGTAAAGGAAGCATCCATTTGTAAGATGGGCTTCCTCGTTTTGTTGAGCAAGAAACGCCCTGGTTGTGGCTGCTGTTCAAAGTTTAGCCTAATCAACCCACACCCGTCCACACCCGTTTTGACAAGTTTTCAGGGTTTGGGTGACTTGAATCGACTTGAGGTGAGATCCCTAGCCAAACTGTTCCCAAAAACGGCCCCAAACAAAATCCTTCTTCAAACAGCAATCTGGTCAAACACAAGCCCCATTCAGCAGGACAACCTAAAACAAGCCTGCGGCGCAATCAACGCTTCAGCTAGCCCGGACCGCCACCGTCTCATGAGCCATGGCCCTTTTTCGCTGCGCTGGCTCTTGGCCCTCCCCCTGGCCCCGGTGGGCGCACAGCCCTGGCTGTACTTTACGGGTGCCTGCGTGCCGGAAAGGAGCAACGGGACGAGGCGGTCGCGTCGTGGAAGTTGCAAGGGGCTAAAGCAGGGGCTCCTCCAAAAGTAGTAGACTGAACATGGAGACTCAGAAAAGTGCATCCACACATGTGTCATGTTTTTGAGTAATTTCACGAAACATGGATTAGACCCAGAAAATCGTATTTGTTTGTGTGAAATCTAGGGTTGGGCCGAGATAAGGAAACAGTGGCGAAGCCTGGAGAAGCCTGGAATAAGGAGAAGATCGGCCCCTGTCGTGCCATTTGTTCGGCCAAAACATCCAGCATTCTATGGAGAGTCAGTCTACATGTCAATGGAACATCAGAGGGGCGTTTCCTCTATATGCAAATGGTGGAAGGCATACCCCTGTTCAATCCCAGGCGACCCTTAAAATGTGGGATTTGGACTTTTTCCCCTATGTGGGCCGCCCACCATAAAGTCAGGTCTTCGGAGCTGCGAAGCGTCTGCATCCGCTGGGCCGATGCGGAGCTACAGGCGCTTTTTGTTTGGTCGTTCGGTCGCGAACAAGTTGTGGCTGAGGTGAGCGATTCACTTCCGGAGGTTCTGGAACTTGAGCTTTAAAAATTGTTTTGGACCAATTTGGTGGCAAAGTTCGGGCAATCTTCGTGGAACTGATCTCTAGCGAAATGGCTCTAGAACCGAATCGCGCCGTAGGTATTTTGGAAACTAGTGTTGTGAAATCCTACAGGTGTCCCTCTGACCCTCCGTGACGAAATCCTCCCTTCAAGCAACCTTGGCCTTATTAGCTCAGATACGTCTCATGATTATATTGCAGTGCTCAAATTCCAAGTCGCTTGCTTGTCGGATTTTCAAGTCCTCCTGAGCTTGCTCCTTGTGGTCCTTCCGCTCGAGCGCCGGCATCGGCTCTGAGGCTCACCGGATGCTCACCTCCTCGATGAGCCAACTACGCTTTCGAGGCAGAGGCGGGCAGCGAGCCGTGGGAAACATCCGACTCGGGTGCCTTCGAGTTGCGATCGGTTCGACAGGCAGTGAATGAGTTGGCATGACACCCCTCTGAACCATCCAACTCCAACTGGTGGTTTCCTTTGAGGGAATCCCTATGTTCATTCCCAAGACGTACTGAGCACCGGCAAGTGAGCCAGAATCGAAACGCGGAGTGGGGGTTGTCCGGCCCTTGCCTGAAAGGGGTGTTGGAAATTCAGTTCTTTACCTGGGTTTAGCTTGATCTTTTGACTGCCAGGTTTGATTCTGACTCAAGTTTGCTTGAATGAAGCCCTGATGTGCTGATATCAAAGTTTTTACGTGGTGAGGGGTTTTCGACATTGATTTCGGTGGGTGGTACCCCCCCTTAAACAACCTTTGAGGGTAATTTACATTGTTCAGGTGCAGCTGGGCACATTGCTGGCACAGCTTCATCTCTGCTGTGGAGCTTACAAGCCGCTAACTTCTAGACACTCTCGTCAAGCAGGACGAACGGACGGCGGACTGGCTAGGCAACCAATGAAAAGTGCCTTCTGTGCAGTTCGCCGACACCGGTGATGTAGATCTCGCTTTCATGGATGCAGAACGGGGAACCAAACGTGGGTGTTGGTGTCCCGTGCGAAGGCAACCCGAAAATAGGTGCCCTCAAAAAGCAGGACCTTTGATGAAACCCTAAAAGCAGGCGTCCCAAAAATGGGACCCCCATTCGACCCAAACTCTCGAAGCATGGCTTGGAATCAAGGACGGTTATCTTCTCAGAACCGAGAATAAATGTTGAAAGATGCTGCCCTGACATTTGTTTGCCTTGGGTTTGAGGTAAACCCATCTTCATAGCAGAGTTTTGCCTCCTGCGATTCTGCGCGGTTCCCCATGGTGGCCTTGAAAGGATACGTTTCGTGTGGTTTCAGTATTGCCTCAAGCAAATGGAGTATAGGCTTCCCTTTGCTTAAGAAGATGCTTAGTTTTCGCCTGTTGGTTTCAAGGGGAAACCATCACTACTGGAAATATGGTTAGTTTTTTTCCAGTGGACTTGAGCAAATGGAAGAAGTGGTTGGACACGCAAGCTGCTAAGCCCCGGGGTGTGACTTTGAGACTTCAAGGGGTAGCTTCTGCATTCCCGAGCACCGCCCGGGGAAAACGGTCGGTGATTGAAATGATGATGGTTTGAAGATAGTGGGGTCCTACAATGGTCAAAACATGTGGGCAGTTGTTTTTTTCCTCTTCTTATTTTTGTTTTGTGTTTTTTTGGGAGGGGGGATGGGATTCGTTTTGGGTTCTCGTGGTTCGGGGCCAGCTTGTGGCAAAAGAACGTGGGGCAGTGTATCAAACACACATTCGGACTTCCCGCAGGCCAAAGATAGCCAAATGTGTCGTTGATTTGCCCAAATGAGCAGCGCCCAACACCGCCTCGGTGGGTAGAAACTCGGTTTCTAAATTCGCCCTATATGGGTGTGTCCATTTTTGAGGGTCCCCATTCTTTTTGCGGTTTGGAAGGCGGTCCCCCAAAAAGGGCACACCTACATGAACCTTCAAAACCATCTTGGTAGCACCAATAGTCAGCTCGGGTTGTGGGCGCAGCGTGGTGCTGCTGCCGCTGGTGTTCAAAAGGGGTGCCAGGCAACTGCGTAAAGCGCTGGCTTTCTGTTCGTCTCAGTGCTATGCCCGTCAACTGTGAGTGGGCGGAGGGGGTTGGAAACAACACCAAGGACATTCTCCAGAAACGCGCCCGGCTTGTCAGGCCCGTTTCTTGGGAGGATCCATAATTCAGGGGCCTTTTTGTCCACAGGCACGCAAGGAATTTTCAGGAGACCAAGCTGAGCTATGGTGGTTTCCTGTCAGTGGATCGTGTTCATTACCTGAGACAATCAACTGCTGTTTTGGGAATGAACCATTTGGCATTTTCCAGGAAGCTTTGAGGGGTCTGGCCACGAAGTTCGAAAGGGAATCTCCTCAAAAAGGTGAGCTGTTGAATTTCCATCCCCACCTAAACGCTGTCCACCAAACAATCCCCCAAATAAAATTCATATCCGGATGGTAAGGGTTTTTCCCGGCTGGAGAATGGGAGGCGACATCTCGCTGAAGCCCGGGGAGTGTCTGGTCGTTCGCACCAACCAGGCCCTCACCCTGCCCAGGGCTTCGGACCTGGATACCCTCACCAGGCGCCAAAAGTTGAAGGAGAGTTGAAGGACCCCAACTTGACCGTGGCCTTGGATGGGGTCTCCGAAACCAGTCTTTCTCATGGGAGAGACCAGGGTGTGTCACCCGTTTTTTTCTCTTCTTTTTTTAAGGGGGATTCCCCCAAAAAAGAAAAGCGGTTTTCCTTGTTGGCTGTCCTTTTGAAACCACCAAAAAGCGGTACCCTCAAGAAAAGGGGTCCTGTTTGTTGGGAGTTGTCACGCTTTGGGTGTCCTTCCGGGGCTGTCAGTTTTGAGGTTGATGTTGGATATGCTTCCACCAAAGAACAAAGCCTCTACAACTGTCCACAATAGGGCGCATGTGCTGATGGGAGGAAGATGTTACCTGACT